ATTTCATCATTTAATGCACAATCAAAAACTTTGAAAATATCTTACTCTATATTTCAGTGGTATTTGAAAATTTTTCAATTATTATTAAAAATGAAATAGTATTGAAATGCCCCCAATAAAGTAAAATTATTATAAAGATTTGATCCATATTTATGGATTCTCTTTGATATACTCATGACTAATACAATAGATAATATTTTCATAAGTGTATGGTATATTTAATTACTAAATTGTGATAATTTTTTACTTTTGAAGCTGCGTAAAATCTATCGACACATATTGTTACTGGTATAATAATGCCCGCTGTTTTATTCAATTCAATGATTTATAGCACACATAAAATCCAAACTTAAAAATTCTGTTGACATCATTGGGAATGTGTTGAGCCAGAATATCAAGCAATCCTGCTGAAAAAATCAGTTCAGTAGAATGAAAGCTGAAACCCTAAATCATAAAAATGACAAGAAATTACTTCATTATTTTGAATGACAGCATCTTAAGAATTAAATATTGCATTTTTTCCTTTTTTCATTTCAAGAATAAATAAACTACAATTCAATTACAATTTATTACAATACCAGAATTAATAAAGATGCTAAATAATAATTAACTCATAAATGCTCCAATTTGAGTTTAATTAAGAGACTAGCTCAAAGCTTTTAGTCTAATTTATTATCTAAATATGTCCAATTTTCTTAATTTACGTCATAATTCTATAAGAAAAATATGATTTATATATTAATAATTGGCTTAATATTTTGCTGCTCTTTGATATTGCATTTTATTAGAAATATTGTCTAACATAAATTGGCTGCATATCAACATTTATATATGTAAGTCATTTTTAATATGAATCACTTATATTTTATTTTTTATGGATTACATAAAAGACATGTATTTTATCATTTTTAGATATTAAAAGGGAATAAAGAATAAATTGATTTAATTTAGAAAAATGTAACCACATCTAATTTATCTAGTTAATAATTTTAATTAAAATAAAGTATTTTAAATTTGCTGAAATATTATTTCTTTTTAGTATAAAATTGATACAGCTATCTTTGGAAAAATACGATTAAAAATTTTAGAAATTTTTAACAAATTTTTTAAATGATTTATCAATTTTATCCATAAAAACTTGTTTATGTGGAATGGTTTCTGGAGTGCTTTTGTTATATATTTTGTAAAATTTATCATATGATAACTTTTTATGCTAAAATATAACTATAGGTAGATGAATAAAGAAAAAAAGTTATTTCCAAAAATAGTGAATTCAATTTATAAAATTTACTTCATCTGGTTATAAATCCATTTAATTTTTTATACAATAATATATTCGTTATTCAAAATTTCGTAACATTCACCATCTAATATTTAATATCTTAATCATAAAAGATAAAATTTACAAATTAATAGCTTTAGCATGATTTCTAACACTAAATGATGAAAGATTACAAGCATAATTCATGATAAAATTATTGTTACCACAAAGCTCGTTTCCGAATATTAAGGAATCTTCAGATGGAGAATTTAATCAAGGGGTCATCCTTATTGATACTTAATAATTACTTCCTGACATATCAAAAAATAACTTAACAATTACATCTGAATTGATAGTACATCTAATTTATAAATTCATCACGTTCTACAACTTCTGATACAATTATTACATCTCCATAATGGGTTCACAATTAATTAATTCTTAATTTAATTACTTAGTACGTATCCCTTTAAAGAAGATAGAGTAAAAATGATTAAAAAACTTATTTAAGAAAAATACAATATCTAAAATTAAAAATACTTATAATCCTTGGAAAATTTGTTAATTTTAACTTAATTCTATCATAGCAAATTTTATGCATTTTTTATCGATTATAAAAAATTATATTTTTGAATGCAAATTTTATACAAAGCTTTATTTAATTCTATGCAATTTAATTGACAGTAATAGATTT